ACAGCCCTTGGAGATTCAGACCTTAGAGGCCAAGTATAAAGAATTGCAAACATTATTTTACAATGCCTCAGGCAGAAGTCTCAAAAACTTCAGGTTTCTGAGGGGCTGGGATTGCCTGTTCTATTCTTTGCCTTCGCTAAGTATCTAACACAGCATTTCTAACCGACTAACATAATTCTAGTCCAAATTATCACAAACCTAACTTTAGGCATACTCATAGATACTCCAACAGCTAAAACTGTACTTATACACTTACATTCCTGCAAGTGCTTGTCCCCTTCTTCAGTGAAATGAAGACAAACCAGAAGCATCCAATGTTACCAGGTGTTAATGGGTGGAAAAGCAAAGCTTCAGTGTCAGAGTCCTCTAGCCCTAGAGGAATGAACTTGTGTGGTGGGATGTGCTGAAAAATCCATGAAGGAGAGAAAAACCTTCATTCACAACAGGAGACACGCAAAGCTAAGTTCTCCCCGTGCCAAGCTGTCTTCAGCCAGCCTGAATATGAGTGGCTGGCTGAGCACGTGACAAGCAGTCAACCCAAAGAAAGAAGGAAATTAATCTGTCCTCATTCATACAAAGCATGTGCCCTTACACAGATCTTTGCAAGTGCACCCACTGTGCATCAGTAATAACAATGCTACTTCCCTCTTTTTTGGTCTGAAGAGAAAAAGTTTAAGTAACCCTCCAGGGTCTGCAGAATAACCAGCTACCACCGGGACAGTGACTCAGAAGTCACTGCCTGCGAGCCTGAGGTTCGCTTCGCACAGCCAGTTGAACCCCCTTCGTACAGGAAGGATCACGATGATTCCAAGTCACTCATCAGGGCTGGCCAGCCAGACCAAGAGTCTCACAGCTGACTCTGGATGCAGACAGCAAGCAGAAAATAACTGACACGACTTGCTGGTCCCCAGCACTGTGTATGCACACGTACCAGCTGCAAGGGCACATGAAGAGAGTTGACACGGTGGCTTTGTTAGCGCCGAGTCCACACTTCTCTTGTAAGTAAGCACCAAGCTAAAATTATGTAGCAGAGAAATGCAGTTTCCTATTGTCAGAACAGACTCACATATGACTATTCTGTTGATCGACATTCAGGAAATGACAAACACATCTTAAGTACCTCTGCCCAGGACAAAAAGGAATATGCCAAGTACATAAGTAATTTAACAACTTTTGCGGATTAGAACATCAATTGCATTGCCTCCAAAGTTGGTTGTGTTGACAGCAAAGATGGAATGGAATTGCCACCCTTTAAGTGCTCAGTTTTCTTCAGCTACATGTTCCAGCCAGTTAACTTCTTAACACACCACAATCCAACTGTTTCATTCTGTTAACACCTAGGGCCAGTAATTAAGAGCTTAGTTTGACTGGCAACGCACAGACTTGTTCCAACCAGATGCTCCCTGCCCCAAGGAGCTTGCTTGCAAGCAAAGCTTAGAAAATAGACACCTACACTTTAGCCACTACACAAATATGCAAGGGCACAAGAGCTGGAGAGTGATTTGGAAGAAATGCATTTGTGTGAGAAACCCCTACACCCCAAGCAGCAGGGATGAACAAGATGTTTCATTTGTAGAGAGCTCACTGAGTTGGCTGGAAAGTATTTCTAAGGGCTCAATATCAGTACCCCATCACATAAACCCACATGTAACCCCAGGATATGCACTTTAAAAGCTCCTTGAACGATTTGGCTTCTCCTTCAGGAAGGGCTTCTCAGGGCTACCAGTCCAAAACTGAAAGAAAAGAATAAAAAACTGTACTAGACTGTAATACTGGACAACCAACAAAAAATTCAGGCCTTGATTTACAGGCCTCTCTCATGTTCCTCATCTGAAGCATTTTACTACAGCGTGGGTCAACCCGCTGTTCTCACTCCTCTCTCCTGCCCCAGAAAGTCTGCTCTGGAACAGACCCAGTTGCCAGCTGTTATCAAAGATGAGCCCTAACCTGTAAAGTCAGATTTTGTTTTGGCTCTCGATTTCTAACAGCCAGCCAAAAACTGGAGGTTTCTGACTCTGGCCTGATCTCTAGCAAATAACACCAGACCACTGAAGCAAGAGGTGGAACAACAAGCTGAGGCACAAGGCTCCAGTTCACAATCCTTTCTTGTATTCAGCTGCAGCAGCTGAAGGACTCTAAGCCAACGGGCTGGACTATGAACTGCAATAGCTCAGAAGTGGACACGCTGCCACTGAGCTGCCCCCATTACAGGGGCATGAGCGTCCACTGGGGAGACAGCAAGGTCAACAGGACCAGTCTTCCAAGGCTAAGGGTTCAAATTTGAACCCTAACTACCACGCTTCACAGCCCAGACATTTACCAGAACTGCTGACGGCGTACGCTAACCCAACAGCGGATGAAATGTCAGTCAGTCAATCCTTCTCTTCCCATTATGGTGACTTCTGGTGAAAGGGCAGCAAAGGGCCAGTAACTTCCTCAGCAACACCAGCATGAACCATCAGACCTCTTGAGTCAAAGCCTTCTGAACAGCCTTAGCTGTCAACTGCCTTAAGACCAACTTTAGTAGGAAAAAAAAAGTCCATTACATCAACACCCGAAGCTTGCATATTTCCTGGTTTCACTTGCAGGAAGCAATGGCAGCCTCTCAGCTTCTCCAAGTCGGGGAAGACTAGGAAGACCTATCACAGCCACACTAAACTAGTTCAGGACACGTGATACCAAAATGAGATCTTTACAGCGGGCAGAAATTTCATCCTGAAGAGTTTCCCAAAGCTTGGGTGCCAAGCCACGGCTGGTCAAATCTCCCAAGCTTACAAAAATGAGTTGACAAGTTACTCAAGGACAGTCTCCTGGGACTTTGCCTAATTGCAGTATCATTGCAAACTGGAAACACACCAGCAGCTTGCTTTCCCTTGAATTTGGGAACTTCCAACAAAGGTCATAAACTGCAAAGGCAAGTGGGTAATGAAGGAGAAGGGCAGCTAAGCACACTGTTGTTAAAGCTCAGAAAGCTCTTGGTTTAGGTGGTGGATGCAGATCGGTTCTTATGCTACCCAAATTAGTTGCTCATTCTCCACTTAAGACGACTACAGATCTGGTTTTTTGCTCACATCTGAGTTTTCACTAGATTTCGATGACAGCAGACAGGACCTTTTAAATAACGCACATTCCACACATGCCAGAATACGTACAGACCAATGTGAGAAACTAGAGAAGGCAGAAGTCCGGTCTGCGCCTGGCAGCCCCACATCATCTGAGGGCAGTAGAGGGAGATGGTACAGGACACTTGGCCTCATCACAGGGTCCGTGCACCATGCAGCCACAGGAAGCTCCCAGACTGCTAGCCGCTTGTGGCACCTATCCCATGTCCACACTTGCAAGGAGATCTGGCCCAACACCTAAGACAGAGCACTGCACGCTCTGTTAAGCGATTAGTGTGCTGGTACGAGGCTCAACCAAGACCAGGCAGCTGCACATGGTCCCCAAAGGCCTACAAAACATATATAAACCCAGAGTGTGAAAGTCTGGCTTTCTGCCCATACACACGTCTACCAGTCATTGCACCACTCCCCACAGCGGGCTACAACACCACCTCTGACAGTCTATGCATTTAGGCTTGCAAGAAACAGTGCAAGCTTAAGTCCCTCTTCTCTGCTGAGCCTGCAAAAATACAGACCACCTGTTTGCAGCACAAACCCTGGCACCAATATAAACAAAATGGCTGCAGATACCCACTCCTGTGGATTTTCCTGCATGCCTCCAAGCATCCTGAAGGTTGTACATACCCCTGAGAGCTCCTTCCAAAGATTCTCACCGCTTCACAACCTGAGGCTCCAAGAGACAAACAACAGAACTAAAAAAGGTGATCACAGCCACAAGGCACAGAAAAACCGTGTTCAAAAGAAACCCCTCACTGCCTCTGCAGAGATATTCTGCGCTGAATCCGTCCACCACAACCTAAAGCATCGCCCTTCTTTTATTTCCAAAAATAAAATCTAATCCTGCCTCCCCCAAGAACCACAGAATATGTAACCCCCACAGGAAAAAGTAGACAGACACAGCAAACTTTGAGGAAACATCAGCATTGTTTCTAACAAAGTTGCCATCAGCATGTCCAGCGAATGCACAGAAGTGCAGCCACACGGCAATCCGCCTCTGTGCAGCACATACAAAAGACTCCACTAGAGTCTGGCGTACGGATCCCCAGCCCCCAACTCGGGCAACGAGGGCTGGCTGCTGCTTTTCCCAGATCCCTTCTTTGATTTAGGGCCAGGCGCTGTACTTCCCGCAGTACTGATGCTGATCCAGAGTAACTCCGCTCATTTCAGAGGGTATCCCTTGGTTCACCACACTCACCAAATCAGGATCTGGTAATTTTTTGTAAGTAACTCATGACGACTCCATTTTTATCCCATTGCATACGGCTCAAAAATTCCTCCTTGCATTTGGCAGGAAGGGCTTAGATATTCCTCATCCTGAATCTGTGATCCTCGTTTTTCTTTCGAGCGCTAAGAAAGGATGTAAGCAGAGTTCAGAAAGCCACAGGTCAACGCAGTGAGCCTGACTGCAAACTTCAGCTCAGATTCCAGCCTTCTGGACCAGAAGGGAGAGAAATGCAAATAACGAGCTGAAAGGCATTTCAGGCAAACCGTGTTTGTACAGTACCTAGCACAGGGGGTTGTAGCCCGGCGAGGGCAAGGAGACGACAGATTGCACACATACAAAGGTAACTAGACAGGCAAATGCCTATGTAACTAAATGCGAACCCCGGTAAAAGTCGATACTTCTAAAGAACACGCAGCTCCATCTGCCTTTATGCACCTCCCTGTACTCCCTGCTGCACCGTGCAGGGAACTCAGAGCACAGAAGCAGAACTTCAGTAACACGAATGCAGCCTAGGCCAGTCCCCGCTGTGCACGCTGCCCGAGAGGAAACTGGCCCAGCATAACAAACGCTGAAAGCTCCCAGCGTCTCCAGGCCCCGTTATCAGCTACCTGAAGGCTGCAAAAAACAACCCAGCCCGCCGCGGCCGTTCTTACCTTTAGCTGGAAAGGCTGGATTTCGTTCAAACTCTGGTTCCTGAGCTTTTTAGTGAGGATCTTCAGCATGGTACAAATGCGAGGAGCCAAGCAGCGGCTAAGCACGCACGCACACGCGCGTCCA